CCAGGACTTCCAATACTATGTTGAACAGGAGGGGAGAGAGTGGGCATCCTTGTCTAGTTCCAGTTTTCAGGGGAATTGGTTCCAATTTTTGTCCATTTAGGAGTATGCTGGCTGTGGGTTTCTCATAGATGGCTTTTATTATTTCGAGGTATGTTCCCCGTATGCCTAGATGTTCAAGGGTTTTTATCAAGAAGGGGTGCTGGATTTTATCAAAAGCTTTTTCTGCATCTAATGATATGATCATGTGGTTTTTGTTTTGACATCTGTTGATGTATTTAATTACATTTGTGGTTTTACGAATTCCTGGCATGCAAGACATTTATATTTCATGAGTATATTCATTTTGTGATCAACCTGCACAATTAAGATATACTTAATTTTCTTCATATATAGTAAAATTAAATAGCAAGATGTGTTTTAGAATTAAAGCATGAATGGAAGTATGGTTTTATGAAAAAGTAATGAAAATTTAGCAGATGGTGAATACAAATAAATTATTTTAAAGTAAAGTAATATAATCTGCTTAGCTGAAAATAATTCAATAAAATAGATACAAGAAAATAGATTATTTCCTCAAATGTTTTACTGGCTGAAATAAGCTTTTAATAAGGTAGTTGAAACATTTAAAGTCCTACCATGTCTTCTTCATCATCTATATAAAGCAGGCTGGAGTTCATAGAAGCACAGGCCATCATACTCTCCTCCCAAGTTTTTGTTTCCTTTCCAATGTAATAACAGCTGTTGGAATATGTAAACCATTCCTCTGGACAACTACAATTATATACTGAGGAAACATTGCAAATTACCCAGAAACAATATGAATAGTTTAAAATGACAGTGTAAATTTACAAAAGTATGTCATGTGTGTACATAAGCTATCTAGGCATTCTAACAGGATGGTATATATAATTAAAAACCCACTGACTCACACACGTACACACTGTAAAGCAGTCTTTCATCCCCTAATTGTGTTCACACATGAAACAAGCCAGCAGACTAATGGTCACATTACATACATTTTTAAATCACTGAACAGACATACACTTTTTATAACAGTAAAATTATTTAGCCGGGCTCGGTGGCTCAGCCTGTAATCCCGCGCCTTTGGGAGGCTGAGTTGAGTGGATTGCCTGAGCCCGCGGGTTTGAGACCCGCTTGGGTAGTGAGACCTCATCTCTACAATAAATAAAAAAAAATCAGCTGGGCGTGGTAGCGCATGCCTGTAATTCCGGCTACTCGGAAGGCTGAGGTGGAAGGATTGCCAGAGCCCAGCAGGTCGAGGCTGCGGTGGCCAGGACTGGCCACTGCATTCCAGTCTGGGCCACAGAGTGAGACTCCAACTCAAAAAAAAAAAAAATTTTATCTCATGATTTTATAGTAATAGGAAATTGAAACAAATACCATAAGGGTATAGTGTTTATGAATTAGTATTTATATTCATTGCTAAAGAAATGAAAATAAGCTCCCATATTCTTTATTTACAGACATCTATTGCTAAATTTTATAATTTTTCTCCTGAATATATCTCTGGTTATTTTTTCATTTCAAAAGAACAATACAAAATTAAACCTTTGTTATTATCAGAACTTTGGAAATTATTACATACTTTTCTGGTTGTTTTCATTTTGGAAAGAATTGGTCTGCTTCTGTGTTGCGGTCGCTAGAAAATTTAAAATAATCTTTTACAAAATTAAGATGTGAATAAGTCATAATAATGTTAGTTCTTTGAAATTTGGCATATTGTTCAGATATAGAAAAATATAGAACTGTATGACAAAAATATATAAATTAATTAAGATTTTGAAAAAATATTTTAATAGTGCAAAGAAGCAAATTCAATATCTCACACAGTACTGATTTAGCAAACTTTCAAAAATTAATTTCTATTTCTCAGCAAGGTTTTTCAATTTGTAAAACATCTTTTTGGAGTTTGAAATCAGAACATATATATCTAATTTAAAACGAATACTTTTTTATAATTACTCTTTCATTTATACTTTTTACAAATTCAGAACAATCATTCCACATTTAATTCAAAAACAAATGTAAAAGTGAGAATTCTATTTCTCAATATTGCAAAATATTTAGCGGTATTTCTATTCATTTAGGTGAAAAGTTCTCCTTTATTTTTCCAAAATATACTTACAAAGAATAATAACTATTTTTACCATGGTAACTATTAATGCCAAACAGATAATTCACAGAATGACAGCAATGAGCTTCTCTGGAGGTGACGATAAATCTATAGGAAAATAAATAAAAGCACAGAGAAAAGAGAGAAGGAGATAGTTATTTAGAAGATTTGCAGACAAGAGAACCCACATGCATAAGGATCATATAGATAAACTTGGACACCAAACGGCATAACCCTCAATAAAGTTTTTCTTAGGGAGTACCATTGCATTTTGAGTAAATATAATGCTCTGTGATTTGCTGGACAAAAACTACAGATTTCCACAATGTCCGGGTAAAAATAGCATCCATAGTTTATTTTTAAATAGCATAATCCGTATTGGAACTCTGATAGTCACAAATAAAAAAATAGGTGAACAACCTGCTCTTTTCCCATATCCTGTTACCCAAGCTGCTCATTCTGGACAATTACATTTGGGAGCTATGAAATACCATACCTTTGCTGTGGAAAGTTTTGTCATTGTCTAGAAGATCCTGAGAAGCAGTTTGAAGGCTTAATTCCGCATAGGTTATTTCTTGTTCAGTTACTAAAATGGAGCTTTTTTTGCCCTTAGACTTTCTCTCCTGGTTCTTCGGGTTTGGGGGCAAATTCAGTTTTGAGTAGATTACTCTGTGATTATCCATCTTTCTTGCTGTGTGTTATCAGGAACGCTTCTGTATAATAACAGTGCTTAAGAGGCTAATACATAGTTTATAATGACAACATGCTTAGCATAGTCAAAAGGAGCAAAATGGAGAGAGATTAACGATACTTAATTTTCATTGAGGAATCTACAGTTTTTACTCTAATTTCCTTAGACTCAAACAAGTTTCTTATAGAAAAATATATTTTCATAAAAGTTTATACTTTTCACAAAAAATATTATTGCTGGGACAATGAAAAGCTATAAGTTTGTAAACTAAAGAAGAAATTCATGAATTAAAATATATACATTAGTTAAGTCTGATCCAAAAATATATTTGAATGTCAATACAAGGCAATACCTGTATTAAAAATTTTAATATAGCTTATAGTAATTTTGAAATTCAAATTTTTTGAGAAATATCTGTACATGGAAAACATGAATGTTGACATATATATTACAGTTTTGCTAGTGAATTTTCATTTGATAGTTTACAGTCATTGATTGAAATGAATTAATGTTTGCAAAATGGTTTTTTTGAAAGATTGATGAATTCTGATAATTTTTAAGAATGTAATAATTTTTATATTTTGCAAAATATTACATGATATAATAAACATGCATAACAGTACTGGAGAGATTAAAACTTTTAAAAAATACTTATTTCATAGACATATTGGCTATTATTTCCTGGCTCAAATGTAAAGGCATAAAACAATACATAAAAAAATAGATCATTTATGTAAAAATTCTCTTGGTTTAACATTACAAAAAGATTCCATGACTGTCAAAATGAGTCAAGGTCATTTTAGTTGTGTATTTGCAATAATTCAGATAATTTAATCTATTTATTTAGTCAATGGAATCTGGAGATAGAGAGTTCTAGAATTAATTCTGCCTTTGAAGTTTTTAATGTGTTCTCTTTAAACAGTTATTCAGTATCTAATAACCCAGCTTATCAATGAAAAGTGATCATAAGAGCATATAAAATGCAATGCATGTAAAACATTTGACAAATTGGCACATAATGTTTTCAATAAATATCAGCTATTTTAATTATTTTCATCACAATTGCTATGTTATATTTCCCGACTCATGTCAGTTAAAGCATGAAAAATAAATCATTAGAGAAGTCCCTTACAGAAATGTGATATATCTTTCTGCAACATTTGACCAACCTTTAAAAGGTGTTTTTCAAAATACTTTTAATGAAATTAGTATTTTATGTAATCTACTTCATTCTCTTTTTTTATTAAAAAACAAAAATTGATTTTTTTAAATCTACTTTAGGGTCTGATAATAGTGTATTTAACTTTCATTAATTTATTTACTTTAGCAATCTCTGTACAAAGGCTAACCTAAATATAAAATTTTATATTATTCAAAGTTACACAGTGTTCTGCAAACAAAAATCCAAAATTACGTGATAGTTATGATATTTATAGTTCACCTAAATAACATTGACTAACAAACCCAAATATGTGTTGATGCAATTAACTACTTTACACAGACAATAATTTAAAAACTTTAAGAAATTCTCCAACATATTTCTCATTCCAGGGTTTGATCCTAACTTACTCAAATAAAGGTATCAAATTTACACTGATTTTATTGTGTGTGAATTGCACCTCCATTGCATCACATCTAATGTTTGCAATCTCCCACTAAATGAGGTAGGCTAGTAGAGAGATAGAAAGTTGCTGCACATACCTTCTGTCCCAGAACGTCACAGATCCTTTAGTGGAAAGGCTGGAATAAAAGGTGAAATTTAAAGTCATATATCCAGAACAAGTAAAAACAATGTCTGTGATCTTCACAGACTGCCCTGTGAAGGCTCACAATGAGGTAAGAATGGAAAAAGTTGATTTCTCATCAATCTGTCACTGAAGGTTTGAACAGGAAATTCTCATGCTTGGGCTATTTTGAAATGACTTTTTCTCATTACACACCTCCAAACTACAGGTGATTTGAGTGCCTATTTAATGGACAAAATAGACTTTGGACATGTGTCATTAACTTGTTCATTTTCAAGTGCCTCTGAGAAACTGTTTTTATATTTTACAAGCCATGTGGTGTAGAGAGTTACTACATATATAAACTTTTTTCGATTTCAATCACAAATATTGCCAACTTAAGCCTTGTTAAGTGTCTCAGCAGTTTAAAATCCAATTTTAGACGAGAGTGTTAAATTTTAAACATTGCATATGTCTTTCCTTCATATCTTTATTATGTCACTCTATTATGATAGAATAAATTATAAAACATATGATAACCTTATCAACAAATATTTACTGATATTACTCACTAATTATTATGAGGAATTACTACAGTTCCAACTTACTGTAGCTGGCACAGATACCATCATCAACAAAGTTATATTCTTGACTTCTCTGAATTAGTCCTTAAATTTCTGCATTTGATTTTGTTTTGTAAACAGATTTTTTAATGTTTAGATTCACCTTGTTAAAAATAAATGTATCAAGGAAGGATTAAACATTAATGAATTGTAAAATAGATCATCGTGCCAGAATATAACACACAACAAAATATATTTTCAGACTCTTGCAATCATATTACTTCCATTTAATGCTATATAAAATTACTCCAAACTCAGGTGCTTTAATACTAAAGTGTATGCTTGCAACTATATATTTTTTAAGCTCCACACCTACGTGTGGCTCAAGTGCATCTAAGGATAGTATTACACAGTTATACTGATTAGGATCTGATTCTCCTACCTAGTAATGAATAAAAATTGATAATTATGTCATATTATGGAGGATTATTGGATGAAACAAGAGCTTTTTTCCATGTATTGTAAGAATGAATACAATGAAACCATATAATGGCATTTTTCGTATAATACTAGAAGAGTTGATTATCATGAAAAGTGAACACAGTAGTTTCCTTTTATACTGGTGGGAGACATTGACCCAAGTAGATGCCTGAAACCTCAGATAGTACAAATTCCTGTATAAACTATGTTTTCCCTATACATACAAACCTACAATAAAGTTTAACTTATTATAAATTATACTTACACTTGAGATAAACAATATCCATAATGTAAAATAATAACTATACAATATGCCTACATCACTACTCTTCCATTTGGGGCCTGAACACAAACACCACCTGGGCAAGACATTCCATCTGATAACTGAGACAGTTGCTAAGTGACTAATAGACAGTAGCATCGACAGTGTGAATACTCTGGCAGAGCAATGATTCATGTCCCAAGTGGGACAGATGTTTACTCTCATACTACTCAGAGCGTTACACAATTTAAAAATCATTAATCGTTTCAAAAAATTTTTTTTAAATATTTTTTGACTGTGGTTGATCCTGAGTAACTGAAATCACAGAAAATAAAATTGCAAATAAGGAGGGCCTACTGTAGTACATTCTTTAATGTTATATCAAATTTTACTAACTTTAAATCTTTTCTTTATGTCTGTAATTCATCTTACACTTATTATATTATCCTTTGAATTTATCCTTTTATGTTTTTTCTTCTATATACACGTTAATAAAACTTCCTTATGTTTGAAAATTGAGTCATTTCTTGACAACTAATGATGATCACTGCTGCTATGACAGATTCCAATCCATCCTGGCAGTTACAGGAAGTCCAGAAGTGTGAACAGAATAAATAGTATTCATGTAAATAATAATTTAGGCCTCAAGCTTTCGCTGCCGGTGAAGGACCTCGGCACCCTCCCCTCAGAGATCCTGGCCCCCTCCCTGGCTGAAGCACCCCACCCGGCCCAAGCCATCAAAACCCACAGAGGCCTTCATCTCCTTCCCCTGGGAGCTCTGGGT